ATATATATGTATAAAATCTTTTTTTATCGAGTGGAGTCATTTTTCACAAAAACAAATTAAATCAGTCTGAACATTTGTTCAAAATTTAGAACTTTTTTATTTTTTTTTTCCTGTGGAAAAACTGCTGCTCTCTGTGTGACGGACGTAATGCCAACAAAACATTTAATCAAAATGAGAAAACATTTTGTTTAAGAGTTTACAATTTCAAACTATTCAAAGGAGCAGTGTATTTTTTTCAAAAGAGGATTAGGGACACTGAAAACAAAATTCTGACGACTTTTCCTCAGAATAATAAAGTAGTAAAATTCAGTAATTTTACTTACCTTAGTAAAATTCATAGTAGAATTCTTAGTAAAAAAAATAAAAAGGCAGAATTCTGACGTTTTTCCTCCGATTTTTGAGATCTCAGAATTAACAATCTCTGAATTAAATACTTTATTTTATTTTTTCAGTGGTCCTAATCCTCTTTTGTAAATTTTACTCTCAACCATGAGGGAAGAAAATCTGCAAGAAAATGAAATTAGGTTTCCTCATTTTAACATATATTGTTTGGTCAGAAAATATTCATTTTTCCTTTGTACCATTAGGATTTTTATCTTTCTTTTTTTAACAAAACTTTACAATATATGTTTTTATTTGTGCCACACTTCTCATCTGTTGTTGCTCTGTAATTATCATCAGTGAAGACATTTAAAATCTGAACGTTTTTAGATTTACAAAGTGCGCATTTATGTTCTTTTAAAACAACAAAATGAGAGACACCATCGTGGACATTTATGTACTTGTTTCATGTTGTTATCGTCCTCTTGAAGCCTTAATTTGTAATAATGAGTTTTTGTTCTTCTGAAGCACCTGCTGCTGTCTCACTACATAAGAAGTCTAATAAAAACGTATATTTTTCAGTCATGAGGCCGTCTCTGTCTGTGCTGGAGCCTGGGTTGGAGCGAGGTGTGCCCTGGGGTCGTGACCTCTACACCTTTGTGACCTCTGCAGCAGGTCATATGATGAGGACCCTCCAGAAGCCCCGCAAGAGCCGACCGTCCAAACGGCAGGTCAACCACCGCCGCTTCCTGCACAACATGATCCAGAGGTGTGTCTGCTTCCAAACTGGGGTTTGGAGCCAATAAATTCACATTTAAATACATTTATGAAAGAGAAAAGAGAGATTACAAGTTGGGTTAAAGGATTTCTGACTGTTGCATGAAGTGAAATTTAAACTTTTTTATTTCTTTTTGAGTCTGAAAACTTAATATGTTACATTTTGTTTAAATAACTAACAAATAACCCATATTTCCCAACATATACAACAATGAACCAAGTTTGAAATATTTATTTGTACAAGTTCAGTGTTTCTCTAGTTTTGCTATCTCAGGATAGTCAGCTAACTAACTACAAATTTTAGCTTCTGTAGATGTGCGAGGCAGCTGCTTGCATGGTTAGCTTAAAACTGGAGAAATATTGTACACTTCATATGACCTTAACATGTGCATATGTACGGGGTGCTGTTTGTAAAGATACACAGTCAAAAATTACCAATATTTCCTTTTATTTAACCTTTTAAAATATAAAAAACAGAGGTAGGATATTTTTCAAAGTCAGTTTTTCACCATGTGATTCATACATTTATAAATGTCATAGTTTATAAACTAAATATTTAACTTGCGATTTAAATATTTAGTTAAAAAGCTAAATATTTAGTTAAAATCCAAATACTTAACTTGCAACTTAAACATATAGTTAAAAAGTTAAATATTTAGCTCAAAACTAAATATTTAACTCGCAACTTAAATTTTTAATTAAGAACTGTAACATTTATAAATGTACAAATATGGTGAAAACCTGAGTGGAAAATAAACCCTTATTTTTTCTCTTATGAAAGACTAAATAAAGCAAACATATTGCTGGTTATTTTTGACTGTTTACAAACGGCACCCCACAGTAGTGTACTATGCTAAAATATTTAACTGTGTACAATATTTTACAGTTTGGAGCTAGCCAGGTTAGTGGCTCAAAGTAGCTTCAGATGCTAAAGATAGCAGCTGGTTAGCTTAGCTGCTAGGACCAACCTCTTGGTAAAAAGAAAACAAACATGTAGGTTAGTGAGTAGAGCTTTAATTTTGCCACAAATTTTGCATTTACAGAAAATGGGTACTTTTTCCTTGTTTTTTATTATTTTTAACAGTTTTGTCATTTTTATTTCCGTTTCTGTCAACAGAAAATTTGCCGACATAGAAGCAGCAAACCACCGACTAGCCCTTTATTTGAAAAGGGACGAAAAGCACACATCCTCTCTTTTGTCGCACAAACAAGACACTCCCAACTCTTCAGGTGACCGCTTTCTCCCAGACTCAGAAAAACGCAGCGTTCCAACAGACACAGAGAGCATGTTAAGGCCTGACGTCTCTGATGATTCAAACGAAGCTGAGGTCAGAGTCACAACGCCGTCAGACTTTGGTCACGGCTGGAAAAGTCCCCACAAATCTAACCCCTCTGCTCAAATGGAGAAAAGGAGACAGAAAAAAGAGGGAAGTCAGAAACTGTGTTTCAAAGACAAAGAGTATTTTCAGGAGGCAGAGCTTTTTCATTCTGATTATCATGATCAGTTTGAGCCGATCTCAGAAAACCCTCAAGGACCTCCGAACAGCTCCAGTCTTTTCAGCCAAATCAACAACAACTCTCCTCCTTTCTCGCCTCTGTCCCTCGATGCTTTCGACTTCTCAGTCCAGATGTCAGAGCTCACAGCCTGCTCACAGGACCCCAGAACCACCAGCGAGGGGCGGCCGCCTGACCTGGCTGACCTCTACAGCGTCTGCGGTTCGTACTCTGAAAGCTGCGTGGATGTAGAGGACTACTTTGACAGCAGTTCAGGCCAAGATGAGGATCTGTGGGATAAAATCCCTGGAGGTGAGCGCACATACAGATATGGTCAGGAGGATCAGAGCGTGACCCCAGACCACCCAGAGGACCAGAGGAGCTCACATGTGCTGGGGCAAACAGAGGAGAACCAACTTAATAACATGCAACCATATCAGAGTACAGCTATAAACTCAAATCTGCTCTCCACGTCCATCAGCTGCAGCTCCCGGCCTCAGGAGAGTCCGCTCCACAACCTGAACCTGTCCCTGTTTGAAGGGGTTGCACAATCATTCTTCGCCCCTCCTCATCATCATCATCATCATCCCACACCAACACTACCACCTGAGGACGACTGGCTGTTCACGGACATTTTAAAGGACAGACGGTCCCCTTACTAAAACGTAAATAAACAAAATAAACTTGTGGTTTTATTGAAGCTTACTGAGGCTGCAACAAACTGCTGAGTCAGCCTTTTGTTACGGAGTCCGTCTGGTGACATTGGATGAAAATATAAAATATAATCTAAATGTCCACACAAAAAAAAACCTTCAGATTAAAAAATAAATTGGAATCGAGCACAAGTATCTGCAGTGTGAACGTAGCCCAAAGAACATGGCTGCTCAATTGTTTTGTGGCCATGCATTAACTAATGATATAAACAATTAAAAAAGCATGAGATATCTCGTGGCCATCCATTAACTAATGATATAAAATAAACAACGCAACACAACTCCGACTTCTGCAGCTGAGGCGCAGAGGGGCAGGAGCCTGTTTAGAAAGTTGAGCAAAAAAAAAAAAAAAAAGCTTTTTCGACAAATAAACAACTCCAGTTGTCACCTGGGTCTTATAGCTGCAGAAAGCTAAGAATTAGCTTCATGCCTAATGTAAGGTGCTGACGTAGCAACGTCATTCTTTTAAAATAAAAATAAATTAGTTTAATTCAGACTTGTGCATGTGAACAACAAAGTCTGCACAATGACAACAATAATTATTTATGTGGTGGCCATGACATAATTATCTCATGGGCACACATTAATGTTATTTATTCCGTGTCACCGGACGGGCTCCGTAGAAATCTGCAGAGAATTTTGATTTGTTTTCTTAGAATATTGGCTTTGATGAATGTCAGAATTCTTAAGATTTGGAAATAAAGTCAGACTTGAGTTAATTTTTTCTATTATTTATGCTTCTAATAAAAAAAAAACGATAGGTATTTGATTGTGAAACATTTGTTTGAGACCATTTTTTTACCTTTAACATTTATGTACTTTTACTGGAGATATACAGTATATACTTACGGTACCCTTATTTGGTCAAATCATTAAGTAGTCCTGAAAAGTCGTCTTGCTTTACTTCTGACACATTTTGTCATTAAAACACCAGAACTACAATTACAATGAATTTATCTCAGAATTAAAACGAGTTGTCAGCTGAATCATGTTAAATTTGATGTATGTTCTTGACATATACAGTGGTTTGCAAAAGTATTCATACCCCTTGAACTTTTCCATATTTTGTCACATTACAACCACAAACATAAATATATTTCACTGGAATTTAATGTGAAAGACCAACACAAAGTGGTATACAATTGTGAAGTGGAAGCAAAATTTTACATGAATCAAAACATTTTTTACAAATAAAAAACTGAAAAGTGCGACGTGCAAAAGTATTCAGCCCCCTTTTCCCTGAGTGCAACCAATTGCATTCAGAAGTTGCCTGATGACTGCTAATGACTCAAAAGGGTCCACCTGTGTGTAATCTAATCTCAGTGCAAATACAGCTGCTCCGTGACGGCCTCAGATGTTGGTTAAGAGAATATTGGGGAGCAAACAGCATCATGAAGTCCAAAGAACACACCAGACAGGTTAGGAATATGGTTTTGGAGAAGTTTAAAGCAGGCTTAGGTTATAAAAAGATTTCCCAAGCTTTGAACATCTCACGGAGCACTGTTCAATCCATCATCCGGAAATGGAAAGAGTATGGCACCACAGTAAACCTGCCAAGACAAGGCCGTCCACCTAAACTTACAGGCCGAACAAGGAGATCACTGATCAGAGAGGCAGCCAAGAGGCCCATGGTGACTCTGGATGAAATGCAGAGAGCCACAGCTCAGGTGGGGGAAACTGTCCACAGGACAACAATTAGTCGTGCACTACACAAATGTGGTCTTTATGGAAGAGTGGCAAGGAGAAAGCCATTGTTAAAAGAAAACCATAAGAAGTCCCGTTTGCAGTTTGCCAGAAGCCATGTTGAGGACACAGCAAACATGTGGAAGAAGGTGCTTTGGTCAGACGAGACCAAAATTGAACTTTTTGGCCACAATGCAAAACGCTATGTGTGGCGGAGAAAGAACACTGCACATCACTCTGAAAACACCATCCCCACTGTCAAATATGGTGGTGGCAGCATCATGCTCTGGGGGTGCTTCTCTTCAGCAGGGACCGGGAAGTTGGTCAAAGTTGATGGGAAGATGGATGGAGCCAAATACAGGGCAATCTTGGAAGAAAACCTGTTGGAGTCAGCAAAAGATTTGAGACTGGGGCGGAGGTTCACCTTCCAGCAGGACAACGACCCTAAACATAAAGCCAAAGCTACAATGGAGTGGTTTAAAAAAAAGAATATTCATGTTGTCAAGAGGGCCTGCTGTCCAGGATGCTCATAATGCTGGAATCAAACCTAGAGAGTTTTTCCCCCCACAGAAACGGGGCCAAGACAGGAAAAGAAAACATCATAAGAAAAATGGGGGCCAAGAGGCGAAAAGGTTGAGACGGCAGCAGGAGGAAAAATAATGAAATAATGTAATCAACTTTAAGAGTGTATCTAACCTAACCAATGATTATTATAACTGTGTTTCTTATGATTAATGTATTGTGATTATTGATGATTTATAAACTTGTGATTTATGTTTAAAAATGTTAAGATGGTGATTAGGGCAGACAGGAGTATAAAGTATATTCTGTAAGGTCAGTTGAATGGATGTGTGGTTTTTCATGTGCAGGCAAGTTGAACATCATGTGAGCTGAACATTGCTTCACTTCTAACTGTCAGAAAGCTTTTAGTTCCCTATCTAATGTCACGCGAAACCTTGTGCAACTGAAACTTCTCAGAAGTGTTGATATAACAGATAAGATGGACTTTTGATACCACAGAAAAAAGTACCTAACTGCCCTAAGGAGAGGAAGTGCTGAAAGAGTTGCTTCATAATGGAAAAGTACCGTGAAATGCACATGACACATGATCACCCCGAAACGGGCGGGAAACAAGCTCGCACAGGAAGATAAAAAGCCCGAACTGGACCACAGCAACGGTCTTCGTGTCGTCGGCTGAAGGAGGAACAGCCAAGAAGCAGCAGAACTTCAAAGCAGCAGAACAGACCGGATCTGAAGTTAGTTCTCTCATTTTGGGCCAAAGCTGATCAACTCTCCTCAACTGAGCTCAAAAGGACCGAAGACCAAGATTTGGACCAAGGCCCATCACCGAGAGAGATCTTTTCAGACAACGTCCGGACCTCATGGGGGTAAAACTGACTGCTTTATCCTGTCTTCTAAAGAAATTAACAGAATATGCCACACTTCTTAATCAGGAAGATAGCTCAGCATTTTAGAGTGTTTTATTTTATTCACCGTCGATTATTAATCAATCAAGTACTAATCAATGTTATTAATTTGTATAATCAGTTGTGGCAATCTCTGCAAATTCTATTAAACTGCTTGCAAGCTTCATAAAGACAAATTAATTGACTGGACATTGATATTTCTGGTTGTCCTCTTTAACATTTTTCTCTGATTACAGGAGAGTCCTGTCATTTTAAAGTAACAGGACAATTACCTATTTTATAAATGTGTGGTTATTTTAAAGCGATTAGTAATAAAAAGGAGGTCAGGTTATAATAAAAAATTCATTTTTATGGTTTATTAGCCACAGAGGGGAGATAGGATAACTCCTCTCTGTAAAAACAGTTCCCTTGAGACCTATTTTTACTGGTCACAAAATCACATCTCGACCACACTAAGAAGTGCACATCCTACAAGAGAGCGCTGCCCGAAGAAACGACAGTGCCCAGCAGATCTCTCAGGCGCCCCCGTGCTACTGCGCCTGCACTGAAGCTGGGATTCACGAAGGGAGCGACTGTCGGAAGGTGGGCAGTTGAAGGTCGAGCCCAAGGCTCTCGCATGATGTCTCTAGGAGGAGACAGGTCAGACTCAGCAGCAGCAGTCACCACCGGCCACGCATCAGTCCACTGGCTGACAGTCACTTTTGAGTGACTGTAGGCCTGACTCACAGAGCTGCCTCACACCCCCCCCCCCTCCTGTGACTGTGAGTCTGAAAG